AACATCCAAGAAATCTCAAAAACAGAATCTGTTGTATAAACATTTCACAGTGAAATATGAACTGACGAACATCCAAGAAATCTCAAAAACAGAATCTGTTGTATAAACATTTCACAGTGAAATATGAACTGACGAACATCCAAGAAATCTCAAAAAAAGAATCTGTTGTATAGACTTTTCACAGTGAAATATGAACTGACGAACATCCAAGAAATCTCAAAAACAAAATCTGTTGTATAGACATTTCACAGTGAAATATGAACTGACGAACATCCAAGAAATCTCAAAAACAGAATCTGTGGTTTAGACATTTCAAACTGAAAAATTAACTGACGACCATCCAACAAATCATAGAAATATGATCTGTTGTTTAGACATTTCAGACTGAAATTAAAAATGGTGGGCATCCAAGTCATCTCAGAAATAAAATGTGTGGTAGAGTGATTCAGTATAACTTGTTATTTACTGAGATTTTACCACAATTGTTCATAACTTTACAGTGAATATCTGTCACGCCCTCTGCCTCAGATTATATTGTTTTATTACATCAAGCACAAGAGTCTAGTCATGCTACGTATATACAGTATATATACATACACCTGCACGAGGGTCCAGTCACGCTACATATTTATATACATATACCTCCACGAGGGTCAAGTCACGCTACGTATGTATATAAATATACCAGCAATTTTTAGTGGTATCGTGATCTTTACACAGTTGTGTAAGAAATGCTTGGTAGTTAAATACATACTTTAACAAAAAGAACATGTCTGTGTTGACTCTACAAATGTTTACAACTCACCCGCCAGAAGGTTCAGCACGAGCCCAGCAAACCAAGACCTAAGCTTCTGCCTCATCATTGAAATCTGTGTCGTTTTTCATCGGCGAGTTCCATCGGAACCTAATGTGAGATACGTCTTTCTGTAGCTCATAAAGTGTAACAACCTCCCACCTCGGAACAACTACACATTGGTCGAGCTGTTTACTTCTCTCGCATCGATTAGGGTGACTTCTCCACGCTAGGTTGCGCGCGCTCTAAAGAATCGTCTGCTGCATTTACAAATGACGTCAGCCAGTGAAACGTCGACATGGCAAAAGGGAGATTCGAGTACACGGAGAAAAGCTTAGCTTTTTCGGACCACTGAAGAGGAAGTTAATTTATCTGATTGAAGTTTTACAATCCCCACTTCACCGGGAAGAGGGAAGATCAAAACATATAAAAATTATTTAAACTCAAATCAAACATCTGGAAAACGAAAGTCATTGTTGTTGTTTGAATTACTTAATAATTTCACTTCACACAACCTGGCAAGTCATGCCATTTTTTTTTATCGCATGAGTGAAAGCAAAGGAGAACATGTTATAACACGTCACCCACACTACATCTGCCACATCCTATACCGACGAGGCCTTTCGGTCAATACCAGGGCTCATTAGACCGGCTGAGATGCAGCAGACATAAGAGTGGTCTAGACGCTATTTATATATTTACAGTATACGCATAGGGCACTGGTACAATGTTGTAAGAGTAAACACTGAGGATCTATAAGTCAAGTTTGCATCTCTTTACCGCCAAATAAATATAAAAAATCGCGCTCTGCACTTTGTTCGGTGCGTTATAAGGGTGGCGTTCAAATTTTGTCATACAAGAACATTTTTGTAATAAAAGCACTGACGTGATGCTGTAACTATACAATATACTCGTAAATATATACAGATATTGATGACTGGTAGTCCTAGAAACAAGCTAGTATGTGTATGACACAGTATACAGATATTGATTACTGGTAGTCCTAGAAACAAGCTAGTATGTGTACGACACAGTATACAGATATTGATTACTGGTAGTCCTAGAAACAAGCTAGTATGTGTACGACACAGTATACAGATATTGATTACTGGTAGTCCTAGAAACAAGCTAGTATGTGTACGACACAGT